TTCTGGCATGCACAATTCTACTGCTGAATACTTCCAGCTAGACTTATTTCCAATTCACATGGTGAAGGCTTTTTTTTTTTTAAAAAAAATAATATACAATCCCAGACACCTGTACGAGATGGTTCCATGGATGGTGCAAATTATCAGATGGGAACCTACCTTCTGTATGTGGAAGTCTTACAGGAAAGAGCAGTTACAACAGTAAATAAGGGCTCTCTACAATTTAGCATAGTTTGTATCAACTTCTACTACCTTGTTCTAATTACAAGCCAACACCTATACAATTAGATCCTGTTAAACCTGAGCTACATTACCTATGTTATCATTAAATGAATTTACATACCTGGAATTCAAAAATCCTTTTGGCACCACATGAACAATTTGGGATATCGTTTTCTTCAGGAATATTTTCACCTGATACCCAGATAGGGCCTTCTCCTCCTCTGCAGTATCTAATAATCTGAAATACAGCAGAAGTTTAAGTTCTCAAGACTGTTTCTTACATCTTGGTATGAAATTGGTATTTACTGACACAGGTAAAGCTGGAAGTGCAGAAAAAGGGCAGTTCCTTTAAGTAATACCCACGGGAAAGTCATCAGTTGCAAATGTGGTATAATAAGAGATTCTTTGTGTATGTTTTCTAACTATTTGAATCATCCAAATACATTTTTTGTTTTCTGTTACTAGCAATATTTTTATATAGCAAATGGGGCATAATCAACAAGAGGACACTTAGGCAGCTATGTCAGTATGGGGATGGTCAGAGAGGGAGGTAACAGACCTACCCCAGGCAGGAGAGGGAACAGACTCAGTGTCTCCTACTTTTTGGGTGTGCATCTTAACCCCTCAGCTACCAGGTAAAACATGGAGAGAACTTCTTTTTCCTCCATCACTTTCATGGATTTAGGCCTGTGTTTCCTCTGAATTAAACCAGGAACCACATTTTTGTTTGACAACATGGCTTTTTTCAGCCTCTTGTGTTACCAATAGCACAGGAGGAGAGTTCTATTTTAAACAGTTGAAGTTTTCAAGTCATCACTAATTTCTTCAGCCTTTAAAAATAAGCCAAACCAACCCTCCTCCAAGGAGCTGGTGACAGTGACAGAGGTCCTTTCTGCAGCTTTGGTTCTGCTGGGAAGGAAAGCCAACAGGGCCAAAGGCTGGGGGAAGAGCAATGGTTCACCACCTCCCTCAGAACCACTTCACAGGATGGCAGGTCCTCCCCCTTCAGCTTCAGCACCCCCACGCCTTCTCATCCTCACCAATTTCTGTTTGAGATAATGAGCAGGTGCTAAATTCTTACTTCAGCACAAATCAAGTTCTGCGCATAAGGAAGATCAGGGTAAGTTGGTTAAGGTGTGTGGAGCTGAGAAGGCCTCCCAATTGCCATTTCTACCCGTAGGTATGAAAGGCAGTGAAACATTGTGCAGGTGGAGGAGGATGCTGTGCCAGAACCTTTAAGTTTTAAGGCTGCCCCATCTTCTGACCTGTTCTGGTTCGGCAGCTACTCGCTCTTTAAACATCTGGAAGATCTTGTCTTCTTTAGTCTCATGTTTTGCCATTGCTTCCAACATTTTTTCATCTAAGGATTGAAATGCTTCACCTAAGCAAGGAAAAAGAAAAAAATCCAGTTACAAGCTAACCAAGACAATGAAAAATTAAAACCAATATTGCACCTGTAAGTGGATTTTACTCTCAAGAATCATTCCCAGCGTAAGCCACTTAAGACTTTTTTTCATGACATCGTAAGATTCAGTCACATAGAGATCCACTTACTAGTTTTATTTCCATTTTAAACATAGATGTCAGTAGTGGAACACTGAAGAGGGAATGAGTTAATCTACTAAAATTTATGGCTTCCAGCAGGGATGGCTGAAGTGGCTGAGCCTTCAGAATGTGGCATCTGGAAAAGGCCACCCATGCCTTGCATGTGCCAGACTTCAGTTTCTACCACCCCAAAACTGCATCTGTTGCACTCCCACGTTCACATTGACATGGGGCACGGAGCACTCTCAAGAAGGCTCTAGACCACAGTAAAGGACAGCTGGGAAGCCAGCAGCCTTCCCCTGTCACATCCCAAGCTCTCCACCCTGGGCGTGGTGAGCCGTGAACACATGGTGAATTTGAAGGGGGCCTGCACTTCAACTGCCTAATTCAAGGTCAATTAAAATAGCCCCAAACAGTTTTCATCCAGCACTAACAGGGAGATCTGCTACGTATTTTCCATAAATCAAGACAAATAGAACCGAGTCAAGCCAAGACCATCTAACTCCATCTCCTGATGCCAACAGCATCCAGCAGCAGGGCTGTTTTCCTCACTGGAGTTGTTCCTTACCTGCAGGGAGTACACACGGACAGAGTGTAACCCCCAGCTACCTGGAGCCTCACTGCAGCAACTGCCGCTTGAACAGCTCCTGGGCCTGGGGCTTACTAACTCTCTCCCCTAAGAACAATTTATATTTTAGGTTGTCTACAAAAAATATGCAGCACAAATTACTGTAGATTTAGCCTTTTGTCACCAGTAGTTAACAGAGAACACTTTAAAATCACAGAATTTTATATTTTGAAGATGTAACACAGGCTTCATTAGGAAGAATTACAGACAGCATCTTATTTCTTACCTGCACGGTCTGTAGCTCCGAGTTCCTCTTGTTCTTTCGCGTCCTTTGATGTATCTACAGCTCCTTGTTCATCATCAGGATCTACAGTGCTGTCAGCAGGAAATTCTGGTTCCTCTGGTTCTATCAAAATTTCATATTCTGGAAAAAGGAATTCATTATGCTCTGGAATTGCAACCACCGAGTCACCTACGAAACAGAAAACAGACACCATTTCACAATGTCATCTCTTATCACACGTCCTTCTCCCCAAAAGCTACACAGCAAACTACACAGCAAAAATACAGCACAAACACTGCTCGAGCAAGAGCAATTTACATTGCTGCTGGACCTGATTTAAAGCTAAGACAGATTTATATTAAAGACAGTAGAAAACTACAAGAGGTGATGCATTGATTTGAATCTTTGTAAATATGAGAGGCAGGGAAAACAGACTAAGTGATGTGAGCAGCTACATTTTAAAACCCCAAACTTGCAGTCTGACAGCTCTGTGCATATCTCATTCTCACTAGCACATGCACACAAGTCAAGTGTGCATCAGGTGCCCTGAAGCCATACCATTTTTTTCTGTTTTCCTTTGCATACTGTGATTAGGCAAACAAATGCATTAGGTATACCTTCTGTAATGACAAGTATCAACTTTGTGCTAGTATATTTCAGGTTTTCACTGTTTCAATTACACGTTTCAAATGTCCAACCTATAACTGGATGTGCACAAACCAATTTTTAACATTCTGCTTAATTCCATTTCCTACAATCCAAGCTTTTGGGTAGCATTATACAACGTAAAATGGGAGATACATCACACACACCGAGTTTCATTGCACCATTATTAACGTGATACTTCTGAAGACCAAACAAATTCTTTAAATACTCTGTATTTGTCCCTTTTGCAACTAGCAAACAAGCAGGCGTATCAATGAGACAAGGAGAGGGGATGCCTGAAGAAAAGGGTCTCTAAAAGAGCACACCCACCAAAGCACTATTGTCATCTATGGACCGTCACAGTACCCTGGGAAGGCCTCATCATTTTACCGTTTATGAATAAGCCATCTTAAAAGCAGCCTATAAAGGGAAAAAAGAGGTCTATGTCCTTTCAGCTTTTTATGACATAAGGTGGACAGAAAGAGGTCTTTGAAAGAGACCAAAGATACACCTTAAATGTATTAGCCTTCCAGGAACAACAAAGATCCCACATTCTTATGTCAGAGGAAGCAAACATCTAAGAGAAAGAGAAGCCCCTGAAGAATACTGACGCTTTACTTACAAATCATAGACTAATCCAAAAGAACGAACTTCCTTTTTCTCTCCTTCCCCCACCAACAGGCAAGCGGGGAACACGCCGAAAGGGCTGCCGCCTTTGCAACGGCGAGCACCAGCCCTGTGCCACCTCCGGCTCAGCAGCCACGGAGCCAAGGGCAACCCTTGGCAGCGCTTCCCCGGCCCCAGACCCACCTCCGGCGGCGTATTTCCCGC